ATGTTATTAAGTATTAATAGAAATAGCTTCTATTATTAATGGCTTAGGGGAGACTAATCACATCAATGAGTCTTCTTCTAGCAATTTTGTTGAGTATGTTTGGTTGTGATTGAAGCAATATTCCATGACATCAATCATGTTTTTTATGACAAGGTTTTAATTTCTTTTTCGATGTCAATTTCAATTTTTATTTCTTTAATTAATTTATTACTTTCTTTATTTATTAATCCATTAATTGAAATTACTACTGGAATTATTTTGACTTATTTTAACTTTTCTATTTTCATTAACCTATTCTTTAATTCTTTATACTTATTTCTTTTCTTCATTTACACTCAATTAATATTGTGATCAGCCACAATAATCATATCAAATATTAGACCAGTTTTGTTCTTTTTATCTAATACATATATGTCTGGTATTTTGTGATATTGTCATTCACTTTTAGGCATTATTTGTTTGTTCCATATCATTGTGATGTCTTTATATTTGAACACTGTTTCATATGGAGGTTTTTTATATTGTTTATTTCCAGTGTATTTTCTTATTAATCAATATTATAATGCCAATACAGTCATGTTTTTCTATTTGTGATTTTTTATGATAAATACAAGATAGTAGAATGTGTTCTACTGTAGCTATCTTGTCTTTACAAAGTGTGGAGTATTTCAATCTTTCATTTTTCATTATTTTTGATTTTCTATACCCACAAAATATTGCTCCATCTTGCATTTTAGTTAATTGTAGAAATGCATTCTTTTTAATATTGATGGACTTCCATGCTTTCACTGTAGTAGTTTTATCTACTCATTTTGACTCAAACCATCTTCTAAAATATCTACTAATTTGATGACACTTCCATTTTTTGATGTATTTGTCAATAATTTTTTTATTTCTACTACTACTTCTTTTTCTTTTTTCTTTTCTATATTTTCATTTATTATTTCTTCTATTTTTGTTTCATTTATTTTATGAATTAATGTTTTTAATTCTATTCCATATTCATTTCTTACTGTACCATCTATCTAATATGTTATCTCCTATTTCACTTTCTCTGGTACAGTAGTACATCACTGTTCTAATTATTTCATTAACATATTCTTCATTTATGTTTATTAATCCTTCACCCATTTCTTCTAGAGGGACATACAACCGATCTTTGGAGTTTCCGGCACCAATGTATTTTGCCTTTCTTAAATATTTTCTTATCTCCAAATCAATTTTATCTAAGTGATTTTCCAATTTACAACTGATGCTGATTATCTGAAGATATTGATTACTTCCGTGTTTATTCTAGTAATATATCTTCTATTACTACTTTCATCAGTGTTTATTTCTTCCATCTTCTGATTCATTTTTTCTTTGATGGATTTACAATTGAAGGTGTCATCAATTTCGTCGGACTGCTATATTCCTAAATATTTATACAAGTCATCACCTTCAATGATTGGGATGTTTTGCATTCCATTTGGTATTTCCTTAATGTTTTTTAATACCATTCCTGACTTTTTCTCATTCATTTCAATATGTAACTTATTATTTCTTTAATTTCGTTGTGGATTATTCCCATTTCTTCACTACTTTCTGTCATTATTCTCAAATTATCCATATATAAGTTGTGATTTGATTTTGGGAATTTCTCTTCGATGATTTGAGAAATTACATTCATCTGAATGATGAAGAGTAGATTTGATAATGAATCACCTTGTAAAATTCCTCTATTTAATTTAATATATCCTAGATATTCATTAAATTTATAGCCGATGAATATCTTCCATCTAATCATCATACTTTCAATAATGTCAATGATGACACCCTCATAATTAAAATATTTTAATGATTCAATTACCCATTCGTGGTTTACTGTGTCATATGCTTTCTTAATGTCATAATATGACTCATCATATTTTGGGTATTTTTCTTCTTTCTGCTTTAACATATAACTATTAATTATTCCTTCTTTAGCAGCTAAAGATTGCAATTTACATCCCAGTTGATTACTACTGATTTTAAATGATTCATTATTCATGTTAAGTCTTCTGTGAATCTTTTCTTTTAATATTGATGTAAATACTTTCATAATTACATTTGTACAACTGATAGGACGATAATTAGTGACGTCGTTCCTATCACTTTGTGGATTAATAAAGTTCTTCCACTTACCATGTCTAATGGGATGTATTGATTGAAGTTCAACCATTCATTGAAGATATTGAGAATGATTTCTCTTGATGATGACATCCTTTTCCAATAATACAAATATATAGTGTCTATTCCTGGTGCTTTCCAGTTACTTATTCTCATTATACTTAAATTTAATTCATTTAATGTTATTATGACATTATCATAATTGATATATCTTTCATTCCACGAGGTGATTTGTTTTATTTTCCAATTATCTTTATTTAATATCACCTGTGTTTCATATAACGATTTCCAATATTCTAAAGTAATATCGTTATTTGGGTATATTTCATTTTTTGGGTCTTTCTTCCTTATTCTAATTTTCTTGTTAGAATCAAACATGATTTTATTTGTATTGATTCTGATTATTTCATCTTTATTAAATTTAATTCTTTTATCATTCTCATCATATATTTTAGGTACTTTATTCTTTCTAGTGCTTTAACTTTTATTCCTTCTTCATCATATTCTTTTAATTTCATGATGCACTTTATTCTGTACAATTTCATTGACTAAATCTTCTAATCTATTTATTTTCTTTATATTTCTTTTATTTCATCAAATTTATCTCTTATTATTTTATTTTGGAGATAGAGGTGCATAATCATTGAAATCCTCTTCATATCATCTTGCAGATCCTGCATTCTGCTTCCTGACCATACCCATCTATTATTAATTTCCATTATTAATCGGTCAGCTTCTTTTCTTTGAAAGTAGTAATTAATATTTGTACATTTTTCTATTTTCATTTCTTTTATTTTATTGATGAGAGTGTTAAGATATTCTTCATCAATTTCAGTAGAGTTATTCTTTAATATGATGTTTTTTATTATTGAATTACACTCTACTCTTCTTTCTATTATATCATTTACTTTCACTTTGATGTATTGTTTAATGCTTTTCTTTTATTTTATGTGACATTTTAATATATTTAATATATTCTTTTTCATTATTTGCATTAATGTTTATTGCTTTTATTATACTTTCAATTTGTTCATTTCTTAATTTCTTATATAATTTCTTATTTAACCAATTAATTACAAAACAATACATCACTTCAATTAAAATTCGATTTCTTTGGTTTGTTTCTTCTTGTATTTTCATTATACTTTGTTTGTTTTTTATTATTCTTGCAACTTTACATCTATCACTCATTTCTTTAATTGGATTTTTGTTTTTAATTACTTCTTCTTCATTTGTTTTAATGTCTTTTTCTTCAAAGTCTTTGTTTTTTTCTTTAAACTCTTCTTTCGTCTTTTCAATTATTTTTTTCCTTTTTAATTGAATATACTTCTTGAAGAATTTCATACCATCTTTTCCTCTTACCTTCATATTTTTAAGTATTTCTTCGTATTCTCCTTCATTCCATTCACTTGTTATTCTTTTAATCTTTCTTTGTATATCATTTATTGTTAGCCATTTATATTTGTTATTGGTGTAATCTTTATTATTATTGTATTTACATTGTTTCTTATTTGTTTTTATTTGAATTTTTGTATTCTAATCAATTTTCCTTGATATTTCATTTACCATTGTTGTTATGCCGTTTATTGCTATTGACATTTCTTTTTTTATTGTATGACCTTGTATTTCTATGTCTTGTTTGCTTTTCTTTACAAGACTCTAAGGTTTTACACAATAGCCATGGCATTAAAATTTGTTGTATTTCCTGCATCTGAAAAGGAATCTTTTTTGTTATTTTAAGAAAAATAAAAATGAAAAACACAAAAAATAAACTAATTATAGAAAATAACAATATTATAATATTATTATTATTATATTATTAATATTATTATATATTTATTGTTATTGTAAAAATGATAAAAATAGTATTTGTTAAAATAGACAATGATAAAAAAATATTTAATTTGATTTGTTAATAACGTGTATTAACTATTTAAACATATTTTAAACTTATAAATATCAAATTCCAAAACAATGGAAGAAATAATCAAACAAATAGAAGCATGGACAAATAGAAAAGTAAGAAATATACTATTTGATTCAGATATTGATAATTGGAGTATTAATACATCAATATTTGATCAAAGAATAAAGAATAAAGAAGATATAATAATTATTATTGAAGATGAATGTGGAAATAAATTTGGAGGATACGTTAATGAGAAAATTGATAAAGTTGATTATTATATAAATGATTCACAGTCATTTGTATTTTCATTAGAATCAAATGGAAGAATTGAAGGAATGAAGAAATTTGATATTAAAGAATCAGAATATGCATTCGGTTTATATAATAAATCAGATGATTGTTTATTTGTATTTGGAAATGGAGATGATATTTGTGTTTGTAAAGAAAATAATAAAACAGAATCACGTTGTAGTCAACAAGATTCATTTGAATATGAAGGAATATCAAACGCACTTTGTGGAAAAAAATATTTCACACCAAAACGAATTATAGTAATTGAAATGAAATGATTCAATCTTGATTATTTGAAAATGAAATAAAAAAGAATAAAAACAAAACAATGAAGAATATGAACATTTTGTTCATCTGCCAATGAATGAAATGGTGAATTAAAATTGACATAATTCAATGTTGATTTATTTTATTTCATTTA